GGAGAAAATATTTGCAAAATATCCATCTGATGAGAGATTAATAACCAGAATATAAGCTCAACAACTCAATAGCAATAATAACAATAATTTGATTTAAAAAATGGGCAAAGGATCTGAATAGACATTTCCCAAAAGAAGACATACAAATGGTCAACAGGTATATGAAAAAATACTCAACATCACTAATCACCAGAGAAATGCACATCAAAACCACAATGAGATATCATCTCACCCCAGTTAAAATGGCTTTTATCAATAAGATGGGCAATAATGGATGTTGGTGAGGATGTGGAGAAAGGGGAACCCTCATACACTGTTAGTGAGACTGTAAATTAGTACAGTCTACACTAGGAGAAGAGTCTGGAGGCTCCTCAAAAAACTGAAAATAGAACTACCATGTGACCCAGCAATTCCACTACTGGGTATATATCCAAAAGAAAGATCAGTATATTGATGTGGTATCTACACTCCCATGTTTACTGCAGCGCTATTCACAATAACCAAACTGTGGAAGCAACCTAAATGCCCACCAGTGGATCAATGGATAAATAAAATGTGATCTATATACACAACAGAATACTATGCAGCTATAAAAAAATATGAAATCCTGTCATTTGCAGCAACACAATGAAACTGGAGGTCACTATGTTAGGTGAAATAAGCCAAGCACAGAAGCAAATATCACTTGTTCTCACACAGATGCAGGAGCTAAAAAAGTATACTTCATGAAGACAGAGACTAGATTGGTGATTATCAAAGGCCAGGAAAGGGAGGGGGGAGACCGGGATGAAGAGAAGTCGATTCATGGGTACAAATATAGAGTTTGATAGAAGAAATAAGACCTATTGTTTAATAGATCAATAGGGTGACTATAGTTTACAATAATCTATTGTATATTTCAAAAGCTAGAAAAGAATAATTCGAGTATTTCTAACACAAAGAAAATACAAACATTCAAGGTGATGGATATCCCAATTACACTGATATGCTCTTTACAAATTATATGAATCTATTAAATTATCACATGTACCCCCAAAATATGTACATCTATTATGTATCAATAAAAAATAACATTTACAAAAGAAGTAAAGGATAGGATGGTTCCCAGCGACCCTGGGGACCTGCCATTGAAGCCCAGGCACACCCCCTGCCTGCTCACCTGCGCCCACCACGGTCCACATCCACTACCCTGAGCTGACCACCTCCTGCCCCTGGATGTGGCACAATGTGGGGCTGACCCCACTCACATTGATGGCCACGTTGCCGCCTGTCCTGCTGCTGGTGGTGTGCGGTGAGTGGGGGCATTCACCATGGGGGGAAGTTCCACATGCCAGCTTGACTCAGATTGGTATTTTGAATATCTAAATTCAAATTTCTGCATTGGGCATTGGAGAATATGCCCTTCCTTGGAGCTACACTGGGACACAAACCCTGCGCAACTGCTCAGAATCTCTCAACAGCTTTCTTCAACAATTCCAGGAATCTACCCTAAAGATATCCTCCCAAAGTACAAAACAACATATATACAAGAACATTAATTACAGCCTTATAGCAAAAGACTAGAAACAACTCAAAAGTTCATCAAATATTATTCTGGTTGGTTGAGTAAATTATGATACATCTATATATCCATGAAATACTGATGTAGCTATAAGAAGAACAAGGAAGATCTCTGTGTGTCACTGGAGTGATCTTCAGAATACATTGTTAAGTGACAAAGGCAAGATGCAGAGCAATGCCTATAGTATGCCAACTTTTGTGTAAGAAAAAGATATATATGTGTATACACACAGGGGGTTTTGGGTCAAGAAACACCGAAAAATGGGGTAGTATATAGGGAGGGAAGTGAGACTTTTCTAAGGGTACCTTTTAATATTGTTTTCACTTTGAACAATGGAAATGTTTTACATATTCAAAAATAAAATTAAGTCAGAAGGGAAAAAATGCAAACCCTAAAACTGAAGGTAGAGTTATAAGGATTTGGTGACCATTAGATGCAGTATGCAAGGAAGAGAGCAGCTCAGACAAGAAACTGGAAAGACGGCCTTGCCTTTCGCTGACGTGGGGCAAAAGTGAGAGGGGAAGGTTTGAGGGGACGATCAGGATTCAGTCTTGGAAATGCTAAACTCCAGATGCCAGTTACACATCCATCCAATTGGAGATGTTGGACAGGCAATCAGATCTGTGAGTTTGGGACCCAAAGAAGAGGTCTGAGTTGGAGATGTAATTATGGAGTCGATGGCACACAGCCAGGGTTTAAAGCCATGAGACAGGATGAGATCACCAAGGGGACATATACAACAAAGAGAAAAGGCCTAGAGCCTGAACCTTAGAGTTCTCCAGTCCATACTCAGTGGTCAGGGAAATGAGGATGAATCAGTCAGCAGGGAGGGAGGGGAAGGCCAGGTGAGGGGAGGGTTTCTTCAGGAGAAAGCGACCACCTGCGGGGAATAAGATAG